TCTGTGATTCTGTGATTCTGTGTGAAAGTAATGGGTAAGTAAAGATACTTGAATAAAGGCCACAGCAGGCTGGTGGAGTTTCTGGTGTATTATGAGTGATGTGCCAAAAATGGAAACCTAAAATCTCTTCAATAAAACCACTTCAATATTTACTTATTTTAAAACTATTTTTTAATTGCTATAAGATCAAGAATCAGATCTTTAAAGCTGTTTCCACGATTCAGACATAGAAATGTCTGTGTAGAATTCACCTGTGTGGTATCTAAGCCATGACAGTCTCACAGCGTACGTTTGAGGATTCTGAACTATGATTAACTTGAATTAATGGGTGATTCTGTCCCTCTCATAAAAGTTCTTGCTTGCTATCCACTGATTAAATGAAAGCAATCAGCTCCTGAATATCAGCAAAACAGATCACAGTAATCTTACTCCCTCTTTCCTGCAAATGTCCATCTTTCTCTACTTTTAGGAGAATAAGAAGCTTATTTATTTTTAGCTAGAAAACAGGCCTGTGTGTTTCATGAATTTCAAAACACTAGAAAAAGATTTCTTTAAATTTTAGGATTTTCTGTACGTTGTATACCACACTTCTGATACAGCCTGAAAACACCCGAATACTTGCTCCTTTCCTACCTTTGCTTTTACCCGTAGCACCCAGACCTTCTGTTAGCGTGGTTCTGCTCCCTTACCCACTCGCTGCAGTCTCAGTGACTGTCCCGCCTTAGAAAATTTGTTTAAAAGAGCCAGTAGAAGAGGTTTTAATTTAATAATCTTTCACTAGCAGGTAGTTACAAAACATAGATTTCATTAATGGCATAAAACCACAGCAAAACTTAATTTATAATTGTCTCAAGTTCAAAAATTATCATTTAACAATGTATGCTTAAAACATTTGGTGAAGAAATTCTGAAAAACTCCAAAGATCTAAGCAATGTAAAAGGAACAACATGGGCATCCCCATTTTACAAGATGCATGCAGATATTCTCTTTTTTCCCCCCTTCAGTACAGACAACATGGAGTTTCCTCACTGGACTGGGATGCTTTGTTTTTATTTTTGGCATTATCTTGATTATTCTGGTGTATGTAGGTCACACGGGAGCTCGTTAAGTCGTAATCATGTAAAATACCCTGAAACAATTCACAGAAGGGCACTGGGCTGTTTTTAAACTGCCTTCAATAACATTCAGTCGTCTTGATGTCATACTCAAAATCATACCGAACTGGCTGTGATGGATTATAGCAGTGTTCATTTTCTTTGATTCCTGTGCATTAAGAGAGAAGCACTCTCACTTCTTTTAAATCTTTTACCTGTTGCTATATCTTGCAAGTGACAGCTGATGTTTTTTGCGACTCCCTACATCTCTGCTAACTGTTTTTGACAGGTGGTTGGTTACATCTTGACAACTGAAAAGGAACATGAAATAAGTATCAATGACAATGATGCCTTGTGGGGAGAAACAGGTATTTCCTTTCTCATATTTTCCCTAAGTAGAGTTGTTCATTTCAGAAGTAAGAGTTTTTAAATTTTATTTTTTAAATGTATATTTCTGTGATAAAAGTGATGGGAAAATACCAGTTTTAATAATAAAATGCACTTTATAAGCATAAAATATTAAATTCCCTCACATAATGTATGGAAAATAAGTTACTTTCTATTAAAATTACTGTAAATTACTGGCTTGTAATTACATTGAAAATTGTGGAAACATAGTGCTTCAAGCTTCAGTATAGAATTTCATAGGATCTGAGAAATTTATTTTTTTTTAAATCTCATTTGTTTGCAGGAAGTGCTAGGCAATCGCCTCGTTTGTTCTAATTAGGCAGTGGATGAAAATACACACCTTTGCATGTATGGGAAGTGACAGGTATTTTTTTAAAGACAGACCGTAAACTGTGCAGCCTGCAGCTGAAGGTTTTCCTGGCTTACCGCATGAGTAGCATCTTGATTTCATTTAAACAGCTGGAGGCTGCACAGGCAGGTGGGAAAACAGTCTCCTAACGATCGTCAGGAGCCTTTTCACCTACTGGAGAAGCAAATGGTCTTTGTTCCTGTGCACATGCAAAGCTCCTGTTGCAACTCCAATGAATTCCAAAAAGCATACATCTAAGTTAATTTTCCTTTAATATTTTGTTGTCAACATCTTGTATTGAAACTCTTGCTCAGTGTATTGGGGATCTTCACTCATTCAGTGAGTGCTTCCCTACGCAGTGCTAACGCGTCGCGGAGGGGACAGTCTGAGCTGCAGAGCCACGAGCCCTTCCCTGCGGCGCTGCTGTGCTCTCCGAGATGCAGAGCAGTAAGGCTGGGACGAGAGAAACATGTGGAGTGAGTCACGATAGCCACGGGATTTGCATTACACGAAATATTACTCATTCCATTACTGAATGGAAGCAATGTGTGTGGACAGGATGCTAAGTTACACGCCGCTGGAATCTCCACGGCTATGCAGGTGGGGGAACTCGCGTTGCCACTGCGCTGCAGGGCTCCTCGCTGCCTGCGTTGTAAACAGGATCATGGGCTGGAACTGGACAGTGATACAACAGAGGTACGAGGCAGGCGGAGTGAGGAGCGGTGTGTTTTGTGAGTTCCTGTTAAAAACACTGAAGTCCATCACAGAACAGCCTTAAAGATCATCCCTTTTGTGTTGTAACGTGTCCAGGAACAGCTTGTTTCTGTTCTGTGTTTGTGCTGCTGTGATCTACCTGAGTCCGAAGCTGGGTCTGCTCATTTTGAGGCTGTCTCTCAGCGGCAAAGGCAGCCAGGCATCGCCATTCCCAATCCTGTATCACACCAACACCTCTGAAGGCCGTGTCTGTATGAAATACAGGCTCAAGGCAAGTTAACGGGAGCAGATAAAAAAGTCACGTAACGTGTGAAATGAGAGGATGTAGGTGTGGGAGACTTCTAAGGCTGTTTTCTAAATTTCCTTAGTTTGTCCTTTTCAAATTCCACATTACCATGTCTTAGTTGAAAAAGACGATCTGAGGTTAACGACGTCTCTGAGATGTTTCTCCAGCCTCGCATGTTCTGTACAGATTAACTCACCTGGAGCATTACTTGACAGCAAACAGCATCATTCTGCAGAACACCACGGGGCAGATCAGAGCCGATCCTCTTGAGTGGAATGGTTGGAATTCCTGAGCGGGGTTCAGTCCCGCTGTTGTTCAAGCTGACTGGAGGAACCGCTCAGGCTCCTGGGAGCTGGACAAGGCACAGGGAGTTAGACTGTCGGTGTGATGTTGGTTACGTCAGCAGATAAAGTGCCGGTGCTGACAGAATAAGAAATGTGAAGTTTTTGGACAAGATCGTATGCTTTTCTGTAGCAGTTGGGTTCCAGTTGTTCAGATCTAAACAGCTGACGTAACTGGAACATAGTGAACTGTCAGGGAGTGACGGGTGAATGGGTTAGCTGTTGTTGTTAAAACAATAATGAATTTACAACTTCCTGCAGTGTTTGTAAGTTCATTTACTTTCAGCATCCATTGGAATTTTTGAAAATTCTACTTTATCATGTTTGAAAGTGCTATGAAATGAGTAACGAGAAATTCACAGTTTGACCCACTTCTTACTGGAAAGTGTACGGTACTGAGATTTGGAAATGAAGGGGTGGGCCCTTGGCTGATCCTTGCAGAAGCTAGCACATGAACTCATTTTCTAAAGGTTAACATTACTGATGACGCTTCAATACAAACAACAAAAAAATCCATTCAATTTCAAGCTCCATTTAAAATAGAAAATAAGTTGATGCGAGCCAAATGGAAGAGGGGAAAAAATAATGATGGGAAAAATATTTTCTTTTCAAGCTTCAATGAGTGTCACAGTGAAAAGCAAGGAGTTGAGTAAGCTCTAGGAGAAGGTGGCAGGTTGTTTAAGTGTGCAGCCTTACACCAGCGCTTCAGCGTTACCGTACTGAGGAGAGCCAAAAACACTGGTGCTGAATGTGTGGAAATTACCCGCTTCCTCATAAGCCATGCGTCATGAAGGCAGGTGTGCAGTAATCTCTACCTTACGAATGTCTAAGATGAAGATCATATCTCCATGGACAGACTGCTGCCGTGTTGGGGCCGCTCCGGCAGCGGTGTGTGCGGGTGTGCTGCCGTCACACGCGGTGTTCCAGCCGGGGCTGCAGGGTGTCTGCCAGCAGCAGCAGCAGCCTCTGTAAGAGCCGCAGGGTTACCTGCGGTTAGACAGGGGTCAAGAGCGCTCACTCTGTTCAGGTCAAAAAGGATTTGTAAGGTGAACTGGAATGTCGAGATCTCTTGCGTACGTGAAGATGTACAGTAATCCCTTGAAGTCCAGGGCAAGGGTTAACAGGCAGGAGTTACAGCTGTTGATGACTGATAACTTACCGTGGTCGTAGGGGAATTAAGTAGTGCAGAATGAAGCTAAAGTGTCCAAGACACAGACTTTCTGCAGAGATCTAACTATCTGGTGTTTGGTCATGCATCGCTGCTAGGGGTGAGCAAAGTTCTGACTGAAATGAAAAAGGAACTAGAACTGCCTCAGGCTGCTGGGTTTATCGAAGATTTTCATAAAGACTCGTTTAAACCACAAGCTGTGCACATGGAACAGTTGTTATCTTTGAGAATCATCTTTTTATTTACCAGAGAGTGTCGGTGGCTTATTGACTTAACCTGGTTCTGACTAATTCGAGTCTGAAAATAGTTGTGAAAATCTTGTGGAGCAGCCGAGTAGAAAAAAAAGGAGATTCAGTAGCACTCACGTGCTGTGCATGTGTCAAAAGATGTGGTAAAACCGCCAAGAGGTGATGTTGATGAAAATGCTTTCTTCAGCCCTGACAGCTGCCGCGGGAAGAGGGAAGCTGGAGGTCTGCGAATTGCTTCTGGAACGTGGAGCAGCTGTGACGAGAGCTAACAGGAGGGGGATTCTTCCACTCTTCTGCGCAGTGCGGCAGGGGCACTGGCAGGTCTGACACACCTTCGCTCGTTAAATGGATTCCTTTGGGAAGCAGTCCTTCATTCCTCCCATCCTGTAACAAATGGGTGTAGATTGTCTAACAGCATTCGTGTACCCCCGAAGGGACGTGTTCAGAAGGTCACTTAAGTTATTTTGGGTGACACAAGGGATTTGAAAGTGTATTGGCTGCATGATAACCTTAGTTATGTTATACCTGAAAAATAACACATGGGAGTGAAAATATTTTATTTCCTAGACCAAGAACAGAGGCAATTTCAGATCCTCTCTGCTGCTTCTGTACGGAGGGAGGGAGGGAGGACCTTAGTCAGCAGCTGACCTGGTGCTGGCCGGTCCTGGCAGGAGACAGCCCTGACTGCCAGCGGTTAGGATCCGAGTTGGGCAGCATTTCTCAGGGGTTGCTCTGAGTAACGCCTTAGGTATGGTATTATGGCTAAAATATAAATCTGACCATTTATTTTAAAATTGCTCTTTTCTGTTTCAGATTGCTAAGCTTCTGGTGGAGCATGGGTCTGATGTGAATTTAAGTGACAAGCAAGGCCGCACTCCTCTGATGGTGGCTTCCTGCGAAGGGCACCTGAGCACGGTGGAATTCCTGCTCTCTGAAGGTAGAAAATCAACAGGGGTTCAGGGCTGCACCAGAGACTGCCTCTCTGCGAGTTGGGCCATTTTGCTTATTGAACAGGACATCTTCTTAACAAAATTAATTTCATTTACAGGTGCAACCATTTCATCTCTAGACAAAGAAGGCCTGACAGCTTTGAGCTGGGCTTGTCTCAAAGGGCACAGGGAAGTGGTGCAGTATTTAGTTGAGAAAGGCGCAACAACGGATCAGACAGACAAAAACGGACGAACACCCCTAGACCTGGCAGCTTTTTATGGAGATGCTGATATTGTGAGTAGAACCAACAGCAGAAAAACTAAGCATGTATTAGATTTTCTTAATACCAAAGAAAGCTTAGAAAAAATATTGCCAACCAAAATAGAAAGGAAATCTGAGGAGGGAGCCAAGATGCAGTGCAAGTGTTTACTCAGAAAAGCATTTTCTAGAGAAGGTTTCCGTACCAAGGCAGTTGGTAAAGTCCAGCATTGTGCCGTTACATTTCACTGCATGTGTTGTACTTCATCTGGAGTGTTTCAAATCTCAGTAAATAGCAACACTTACAATTTCTATGTTGGATGAACTGCAATAAGAATTTTTTAAAAGCCCATGGGAGATGAAAATATCTTTTCTCAGCCTCTGCAAACCCATCGAAGTAACCTGACAGGGTCCCTGTCAGTTGGGTGTTAGTGGGACAGAGACCCCAAATGAGAGATGGTGGAAGAAGAATAATATTGCCAGAATAGATGAAATGCAGAAGGATTTTGCTTCTCCATCATAAGGCAGCATTACTTGTCTTTGATAGGTATCTTAAATGCTTTGCCTGATGGGGAGAGAACTGTTAGAAACCCTTACGCTCTTCATCTTGTGAAGATGGCACTGAGCACGTCCCAGTGTTACTGTCCAGCCTAGCATCCTGTATACATGAAAATACAAGGCTTGAGGTGTAAACTGGGTTTTTCTCAGTTTGTTCCACAGGTCTTTTCAGTTAGAATCTTCTATACCTTTCAAAGCACAGACTTTTTAAGTGATTGTATATTTTTGTCCGTATGGTTCAAAGCTCAGTAATCAGGCACAGTGCAGAAGCCTGACCAGATGGGAATGCAGCTTCCACGAAGTGCGCAGAAGGGCATGCCCAAGTCTGCGTGCACAATAAACAGATCCATCAGGGAAGTAGAAAGAACAGCATATGCAGCCTCTCAGGCTCGCTAGCATCTTTATTTCTAGAGTTTGCACAGACACCATCCTGTTTCAAACCAGCAGTTCTTGAATAAAAACGCTGCCACACAGCGTAGCGTGCTGTAGCACCTCAAGGCCCATTCGCTCTCAGTCAGATCAACCTGAAATTGTCAATGAGCGCCTGGATTCTGTACCGGCTGCCACAGGTCTCCCAAGTGGCACCGCAGAGCTGTTCCTGTCACTACCAGGTAACTGTAGCTGGGTACCGGGAGAGGGGCACGAGGGGTAGGTGATGTTGCTGGAATAGCGCAGACTGCGGGTCACTGATGGACCACGTCCACGGTTCTTGGGGCTGAACAGACGGAGGTGGATCGGGGCTAATGAAAAGGTCACTCAGCAGGCCAGCAGCTTCGGGCTGTGGGGCCTGTCTGTGGGAAGGAATGTGAATTCCTCTTTCCATACTAGATCGCTGCCAGGCACGTTTGGGCAAGCAATGGTGGTGTGAAAGAACTGCTGCTTACATCAAACCCGCCATCGCCATCAGCTCCTGTGTACTGCACTCTTAATTACTGTTGCTCATGAGCAACTGCCAGAATTCCTCGGTTGCTCTGGATGCTTGGTGAATGCTTGGTGGAAGCTGACGGCATATGCCATACTTTGCTTTCCTAATTCTTCTTTGCCCTTGCTGCATTTTACATATGCTGCATTTATGTCCAACTGCAGCGTTAGACTTTCCTAATAAACGGTTAAATGAACAAAATTAAAAAGGATGTAAAAGGGCTTTAGCACACTCTGTAGTGCATACTCGGGCTCCTTCAAGGAAGATTAGGTGGCAGCTTAAATATTGCACTGTTCTGACTCTCCTACCAAAAATAAGACGACAAGGCTTGTCTCATTTCTGTTCGCAGGTGCAGTATTTGGTAGAGAAAGGAGCAATGATAGAGCACGTTGACTACAGCGGCATGCGGCCGCTGGACAGAGCTATCGGATGTCGCAACACGTCGGTGGTGGTTATGCTGCTGAGAAAAGGAGCTAAACTGGGTTAGTAGAACTATCCTGTACTCCACAGAAACAGCTGAGTGTCTGCTCTGCTAGAGTTACTGTCATCTCTGTAAGTAGGTACATAAATCCTGAAATACACACTAGATTTTTGCAGGTTGTATGGTTTGCAGATGCCCACTCGAGAAGTCAATCTCTTTTAAAGGCAGACACTGAAGACTCACTTCCAAAGTGAGGAAATGCAAGTAATTTTATTCTTTTCCTTTCTGTGATGTATGTTAACGAGGAGCCCTGGAGGAGTCAGTCTTTACATGGTTAATCTATCATGATATACTTAAACAAGAAAATTATGTTTACTGTATTAGTTATACTTAATTTTGACACTGTCAATGATTTAGAAGTTTTACATATAAATAACATTCTTTTCACTAATTATAGAATAGTACATTTTTGCAAAGGGTGGGCAAAAAAATCTGTGTCCAAATCACGTGTTATCAGTAGGCAATCAGATGGTGCACCTGTGTACATGATAACTGCTGAATCCATAGTGCCTTTAAATCATCACCTCTCATCATCTGGGTACTGAGCGTGAGCAGATACAGATCCTTCCCCAGGCGTGAGCTTTACCAGGACTTTCCTGCTGCCCTATACTGGCTTTACACCGGGGTAAAATGAATCGGGCCATGGAATATCTGCTGTCTCTGTGGGGCAGCAGGGGGCAGGTATGGATATATATGCATGTTAAATACATGTGCACATGCTAATGATAAAATAGTTCCATGCAGGCAGAATATCTGCTGAAGTAGGATTAGACTTTCCCGTGTGAATAGGTATCAGAAACACACTTTCTGCCCTTTTGTCAGACATCTGTAAATTTAACTTGCAGGAAATGCAGCATGGGCAATGGCCACCTCCAAACCTGATATTCTCCTTATTCTGCTACAGAAGCTGATGGAAGAAGGAAATATACTGTACAAAGTAAGTAGTTTGTTTGTTTGTTTTTTTCTGATAGCAAAACATTATAATTGGACTTGTGTCTGAAGGTAGATTGAAGTTCTTTATACTTTTGTTTCTGTTCAAACAAGATGTGTACTTGCACATCCTCTTATGTTGGGAATGAGACCAAGAAATCATGAGAACCCTGGGAATCATTGAAAACTCCTGTGTAAAATAAATAAATTTCAAGTACATTTTCTTTCTGTTGAGCAAGTCGCTCTGTGAACATTTGTAGCAGTCAGTTGCTTCTTAAGAGCAACCCAGAATATGTAAGGTGCTCACTGGAAAGTCCTTGTTGAATCAAGTACATATCCTTTTCTTCAGGATAATGTTCTTTTGTGTGCTATTTAAATATAGAAGGAGGAAAGTGACAGCTCTTTTTGATGCATTCTTTTTACTAGTGGTAAACTAGTGTTTGGAAGAGACTGGAATTATTTTTGTGACCTGTGGCACCCCTGTGTGTTGTATCACTAGTGCAGCACAGTGCTGAACAGCTTAGACAGGCATCATTCACAGCCTGTGCTGGCTACAAGGCTTGTAATTTGTAGAGGTTTTCTGTAAGGGCCCTTAGATATCTGCCACCTGATCTCTGATCTTTGTTCTGTATCCAATGGCTTTGCGTAGTACAGCAGAGAGACCCTTGAGGCTTTGCTGTCCCGCATCAGGGTAAACCTGCTTAGCTTCTCCCAAGCTCTGTGTAGGAGTTTTATGACTCTGGATAATTTATCAAGTTTATTGATCCTGAAATGGGCTTAGAGATTTATATTCAAGCAGTTACCATCTTTCACCCTAAAGGGTAGCAGATGTGACGCTGCACCCAGGAAGCCTCTACTGCACCACTCTTCTCCAGGGGTGTGTTTAATTCAGCAGCTCACGGGGGGCTCAGGCAGAAGGTGTCGCTGCGGCACCAGCACCAGTTCATGTCCTTCAGTTGCTCCTCAGATTACTCTCAGGCTGAACCCTGCCTGGACTCTGAGACCAGAGCAACATGACAGGACTAATGTTTTACAGCTTGTGACACGACATTGAATTCCCTGCTGGCATCTGGTTTTACAGTGCTTAATTTTTTTACAGTAACTGGATGGACTTGCTAGAGCCAGGGTATGTGATCTAGCTTGTTAAACTTTTTCCAGTATACTTTATTTGATGAAATGTTTTAAATGGATAGTTATTTTGCAGAGTAACGCGCATTTGAGTGTGCTCACAGTATGCAATAACTATTTTTCAGCTCTCCAGGTGAATAAAATGAGATAAGCCTTAAATATTTATTTTCCTTGACAGTTTCAATAGTAATTTTTGACCACTTTGAGGGTTAAGATGAATTAAATAAACACCCAATGTTTATGAAAATAAATTGTAATATCCATAAAGAGAAATTTTTTTTCATTTGTCAACTAAAAGATTTGCTTTTCTTATCATACTAGGAGGATTTCAATGTTTTTAGCAAAACTGTCTCAAATATTCAGTTTATTGTGAGATGTCCTCTAAGCTCTCTTGGTGGAGCATTCAGGTAGTCCTGAGGGTCAGGTTCACTCTTATTCACCCTCCGTTAAGCAGCAGGAGAGTGACCTTTTACTCCTTTAAATTCATCCACATCCGTCACACAACGGATGGTGGCCGAGACGCCTGCATGGGTCTGGCAGTAGCCGGACAGCATGTCTGAATGTGGCACTTCCTCCCTCTCCCATCCGCCCCTTCCACTGCCGGAGCTTGTTCTGCAGCATCACCACCGCATCCGGAACACACCGTTCCTGAGCTGGGATGTGCTCCAGGCCTTGCTGTCTTAATCAGCTACATCATCAGATGTTTGACTGCTCTGTTTTAAAATTTAAAAAACTTTTAAAAATTAAAAAATTAAAGACATAAATAATTAATTGTATCATACATGAATTTTTCTGGTACAAGTAGTATGTATTAATGCAATATCCTGGTGAAATACCACTGAAGGTATGAGTTTACAGGTAACATGTAAGTTCTTTCGTGTCTATGTGTAAGTGGAATTCACACAGTGTGTATTTTGCTTTAAAAATATGGCACTGTGTTTTCTACTTGAAGAGCAACCTGTTGGTAGATGTCAAATATGATTTTTTTTTCAAATTTTGCAATATTAAGAGTTTGTGAAAAGCCTCTTGTTCTCCACATTTGTAGAAAGGCAAGATGAAGGAAGCAGCGCAGCGCTACCAGTACGCCTTGAGGAAGTTTCCAAGGGAAGGATTTGGAGAAGAAATGAAAACGTTCAATGAGCTGAGAGTTTCGTTATACCTGAATTTATCACGATGTCGCCGAAAAACAAACGTAAGCTCGTGCTGTTAATCCGTTGCCTATCTGGCATTGGCAATCTCAGACTTCTGTTCTACTGCATTACTGAGTTTGTGCTTGGAGGTTTATTTTTGCTGTTTTAGAATCTCTTTCCCCGTATCTGGCTATTGGGCTTTGTTGTGTCAACAAATGGAGACAGTTCATAAGATGAGGACATGGTGCCGTGGGGGACCTCTTATAGCTGTTCTTATGTAATCCACTTACTTGGAATGATGAACTGGACAGTTTTGGAACTCCTAAAGGACTCAATGGACAAAGCCGCGACCATTACCCTGTGCCGTCACACAGCATAACCTGCTACTGCGGCTGCGGTCTCTGTGCTGGCTGCTGCTCTGTACCTTCACCAGTGCAGCAGGTGGCTGCTAAGAACCTGCATGACCAGCAGAGCAAAAACGGAGGGTTTTCTAGATACACCTAACACTGTTCCTTCTTATCAAACAGTAACTCCTTAATTCCCTAGTCATTCACCTTGTTTTTGGCATCTGCTCCAATTTGAAGAATTTCCAAACACCAGTGTCCAGGACTTCCCAGAGGCAGTTCTGCCGCTGCTTTGCACGGCAATACTCATCCTTCCCTTCCTGCGCTGGAACTGCCTCTGCTGGTGCCATCCTAGATGAGATCAGCTCTTCAGTTTCATCGAACTAACAGCAGAGAGTGGCTCTGTCACAAACCAGCACGAGTGTGCATGTGTGTATGTTTCTTATCACATCCTGCTGATAAGCTCGTGTACATTTTGCTAATCCTGAGGCGCATCACCTTACATCTATAAAGCTCCAGTCCATCACATTGCTCTTGCATGATACCTCAGGATGGTTTTGGGGTGTTAATATTTGCAGCCTCCTGTCTCACCCTGCTCGAAGCAATTCAGTATGGTGAACACCCTGTGTTGTGCATGGCTGTTCCAGAAACCAGACTTGCTTCTGCCTTCCTCTTCCCCACAGCCGTCTTTCCCCTAGTTCACTCCTGCTTTGTTAATTCCAGTCTGTGGTTTAACCAACAATTTACTAAATTCTTATTGTGTGTTCTTGTTAAATGAAGACCAAATACATTACATCTAGTGCAATTCTTCTCTAAAAATTTCATGTACCTTAGTTCAGGAAGTTCTGGAGTAGTCCAACCAATTTCCTGATTTTTCTTGTTTTTCTGTAAATTCCTAGGTCTTTAACTGGCCTTTTTCCAAAACACCCTCTAAGGCCTTGCTGTCTGAGGTGGTCATTTATCCTACTAAACATGCAAGTAACTTCTAGCATTTTAACACCTTTGGGCTGAAAATAACCAGATCTTTGCTATTGTTAACCTTCCTTTTTAGCCCCCTTGGAGTCAGTTTCCGCTAGACAGGAGGGACAAGGTCTGTTCTCAGTCTTTCAGAACATACCTGCTCTGGCTAATGGATAAAGGTGACTGCACTTCTGAAGCAGCACCATGAATAAAGAGCATGCAGCTCTCTTTTACTGTATGTATAATGAGTATATTTAATTATTAGGACTTTGGTATGGCGGAAGAGTTTGCTACTAAAGCGTTGGATTTGAAACCCAAGTCTTACGAAGCCTATTACGCTAGAGCAAGAGCCAAGAGGAACAGCAGGTACTGTTTTCATTCTGTGCATCTGTCTGCACAGTTATATATTTTTTTTTAACTTTCTAACACTTTCAGTAACTGTTTTTCTCTTTCACTAGTTGTGTTTGGAATTTGCAAAGGGAAAGTTATTTTCCTTGTGCACTTTCCATGTGTATTAGGTCTTTGTACAAGTTAAAGCCAACCAAACCCAAAAAACAATACTGAATACTCAGATAATTATTAGGCAGTCCAGAAAGTAACAATGTGATATGAAGAGAGATTATTTTAAGTGTAAGAGTGAATGGGACTGCTACTCCGCGTGACTCAGCAGAATGTTGTCAGCAGTGTGCCACCAAACCCCAGTGCTGCATTATTTGTTACCAAGAGTAACTGGGTGCCTTAGCAGGACAGGATATGCTGAATCGTTATCACTCAGTTCAAGATAAAAACAAAGGGAGAGGAGGAAGCATCTTTTTAAGCTGGAAAAATACCAAATTGTAGCAGTGTAGTTGAAGCACAGGGAGAAGTGCCTTTCTGATTCACCATGTCTTGTAAGCAGAACACTAAATGGTCGTGAAGCAGAGTTCAGCAAGTTACCTACTCTGAAGATAACAGTGAAGGGCTTATGAGACAAAGCTTCAGTTCCTGGTGTTATCAGCAGGCTTCTGCCTTCCTGAAAAAAACTGTTAGGATACAAGGGGAAGGGTTTAGGACTGGGTCTGTGCTTTCACTGTAGGAAAGAATTTCCTGGGTTGGAGAACATCCAGTTCATATATTGTCACCATCCACAGCAGAAGATGACAAAAATCAGAGTATTTCTTTGCAGGTGGTGGAGGTGCATTAGTAGTACTCAATGCTGAGACTCAGATTTGCCCCAGGTTTTTATTAAGTAATTGGTTTTTTTCCTAAACAGAAAGCTACTTGCTGCTCTTGCTGACCTACGTGAAGCCACACAGCTGTGTCCTAGCAATCAAGAGGTAAAACGTCTCCTGGCTCGAGTAGAAGAGGAATACAAGCAGTTCCAGAGAACACAGCAACAGAAGCACCAGTCTCCACAGCTACTACAGAAAATTAACAACTCCGATAATGAGGAAGAGGGCATTATACAAGGTGCGAATGATAATTTTAATCTTCCAGCGAGGGAGGAAGAACAGCCGCACCCTGATGAATCTGTTTCCTCTCCACAAAGGCTGCAATGTTCCTTAGCGGCTTCATCATACAGCAGGACCCTTCAGGAAGGTGTTCAGCAGAAAGCTAGATCTGTGTCCCCTCAAAGCAGAACAGCCAGTAAATACCTGAGAGAGCCAGGCTTGATCATGCAGCCAACAAAGCAGGCACAGATTGTAAAAACTAATCAGCACCTGAGCTCCATCCAGCCCGGATCCAAAACGGGAAGCAGTCAGTGTAATACAAAGACACAATCATCTTTTCAGCATCTTCCCCAAAGTCCCTTGCCAGTCCGGCACTCCAAAATTCAGCATTTGGATGGGACAAGCGCATTATCCTCTGGAAATGCTTCCATGGGTCCTAGTTCTGAACTGTGCAACGAGAAGCTTATGTCCAGCCAGTGTTCCCACTCACAGCACAACGAGAATCTCTCATCTTGTTCTTTTGGAAGTAAGTCTAAAACCACTGATCGGTTAACAGCCCCTACTCAAATGAATTTCAGTGAAGCAAGGCAGCAAAGTCCTGGACCTGCTGCTGTCTCCTCTAGCTCCCCATCCGGTAGCATGATTCCTGCCAGCTCGACCAGCAGCTTAACCTCAGCCAGTAGTTTTTCAGAGAGCATTAAGGGGCTGGGCCCAGATGTTCGACTCAAGGAGAATAATGTTAATCAAGTTCAGGGTACTGTTGCTGAACACAGACCTCGCAATACCCCATTTATGGGGATCATGGACAAGACTGCAAGGTTTCAGCAGCAAAATACTCAATCCAGTCGCACTTGGCACTCTCAGGCACTGGATGGATTTTCAACAAGCGTTGCTTCTGGGGGCATGCAGTCCTCAAATTTTGAGCAGTTCTCAGTCAAACACCACCAAAACAAAATGTCCTCTACTGGTGCTGCCCCAGGAGATATCAACCAGAATGGTATGCAAGCTAAAGAATGCGAGGAGCTGAAGCGCCAAACGCCCGCCCAGTGCCAAGACAACAGAGCCCTTAAACCGCACTTTTACCCTGACGCTGTATCCAGACAGCAGTCTCACATCAGTAAGGAAGGCCACCTAAGTCATGGTGCATCTACAAAACCAAAGCAATCATTCATTGAATCAAATGTATAAATGCTATTTTGTATAGTTACAGGGTTGTAAAACAGCTCATGACATCATAGGGTATCACTTCCATCCAAAATCCTGACTGGCTGGTCACTTGTGAGTTGAGTAAGCAGTCCCTGTCGGCCAGTACTTAATGGGACACAACCACTTTAAACTGGTTCTACCATCGCAGGACAGCTGCAGTAACTGGAATATCACCTCTGTGCAGAGTCAACTAGGATCGTCAACCCACCAAACCAGGACCTGAAGCAGATAAATCCTTTCCATGCCCTTGTACCATTAATACGACTTTCCTTTTACATAGGGCTTTAATCTTGGCTTCTGGTTATATTACATCTCACCACTCGCATTGTAATCGTGCCTCTATAACGCTTAAGTGCTTACTTCTCAAAACAGTGTTAAGAAAGATACCTGCTGCATAACACTCGGATCTGTATATGTATGGGATTTTTTAAATAAAATATAGTATTTTATCACTTTTCTAGTGGGATCTAATTCGGGTTGCATGATGTACATTTAGGAAGCATAAATAATTTGTGTATGAGTAAACCTAAACCATAAGTGGCCATCTTCTGACATGTAAATATAACTATTTTTAGTAACTAGAAGAGATCAAGTAAAATAAACAGTGACATTTGCATGTGTATTGAAAGGCTTTGACCATATTGGTTATTGCACTGAAGAACACAATATTATGGCATATTAACAATAATCGCACTTTATATAGTTTATCTAATCACCTTTCGGTGCTATCGTAAAGCAAAATGTTTATTTGTGAAAAAGGTACAGCAATGAAATGTTTAGTAAGTGTTTCCTGTGGGAAACCCAGGAAAGCAATGGAGTGAAGATGAAAGATTGAGGAAAAGTGTACGTGCAGTTGCATGACAGGATGACATTGTGAAGTTTTTCGGATGAAATAAAAGTTTTCTGTTGGCAAGAACGTTCTGCAAGTAAACAGCTGTAGTGACATTCCTATGAGTGCAATCAGGTTGGAGTGGTCAGCTTTACCTAGTCACTTTTCACGTCTTGTTTGTCTACAGTGTTTGATGTACATTGTGAGCAGCTGTTCCCATTTTTACAGATTGAGTTTGCATCATTATGCTTTAGCTTATTTATTGTTTACTGTTTCTTTGATATTTTGTATGACTCCTACATTAGTCATGTCCTGTAGTTCTATTTTTGCACAGCTACTGTATTTTTTCCATACAAAATAAAGATTATTAATATACCTACGGATGAGAGACAGTCACTGGCTGGTGGCAGGAGAGACTCTCTCCCAACTTTTCCAACTACATGTTCAGTAACAGGGAACAGAGAAAGACACGTTCCTGGTTTTCAGATTTGAAGAAGAAATATGGATACTTACTTTACTATTTCTTACCTTCTGAAAGACTAACTTGGCAAAATCAAGACTCAAAACTCACGAATGTAGTGAACATTTTAAGAAAGCTAAAGCTTTTTCTTTGAAAAACTATGAATACTTAATTTCTTAAACAGAAATACTGCAAAGTAAAATTACCAACATTTTAAAAGTTTTTTCGGTAATTTCCTGGGAGCTTCCACTAGTGAAGATTTTCTTTCTAACAAACGTTTAAATGACAGCCACAGATTAGAACAGAAACAAAATTTTTTCTTTCCAATTGTTTCTGATACAATTATTTCCTTTAGCTACATATCATTTCAATTAATTTTATAAACAACTTCAAAACAAAGTGGTTTACCTCTGTTTCTGATGAGTCTCGAGCCAGCGACTGATGGCCATTTTTAGTGTCCTATTCGGTGTAAGCATAATAGAAGGGAGAGGAAGATTTGTCATGGGACTAGATCGTCTGTTTTTGCTGATCCAGTTTTCTATTGCTTCCTTTTCATAGGAATAGCCATCTGCAAATAAACCATCACCAAAAGCTTTTATTACAGATGCTTGGGCACTGTTACACTGAAGATTTTAGCTATTGAAATTTAAGAGGGCTGTAAGGGAATTAGTATTTCCAAACAGGAAAAGTGAGATATAGAAAAATTACCTGGTCTGTGAAAGCTCATACACATTTGTTTCAAATTACATAGTTACATGTATTACAATAAAACTTAATAGAGCAGTATTAAGATCAAAATTTGATTCAACTTTTAAAATTCTACTGTACTTAGCAAACTAACTAGTACAAGCTATTTTAGAAAGCACTGCAAATTCCTCAGTCAGTTACAGCTTGCATCAGTTCACTGATGGCAAGCCCCAAGCTGGGCACACACTTGGCCCTCGATACCTGTCTGCCTTCAGGACTTCAGCTCTTCACCGAAACAAGCTGCTACTTAAAGAACAGAGACAGCAGAATGAACTGACCCTCCTTCCCCCAAACCCCAGCCAAGTATCAGCACCAGCACTCAGGACCAGCTCTGTCTGATGAACTGCACCCTGTGTCCTCCACCCTCCCCTAACACAGAGCTACGCTCTGTTTCCTTCCCCTTCACCGAATATGAGACACTTACTAACATGGAAAAAAAATCATATTTACGCTGGTCACGTGCATAAAAGAAATGTGCAGTTTGCCATTCTACCTTCCTTTTATTTTTTCTTCAGCTTTACATAGCACAGAGGCATAAAAGCTTTACTTAACTTTTACTTCGCCTACTGAACAAAACATCTGGCTCACTTCAGTTAGTTACTTTCTAGTCTCAGAAATGTCTAAATTCCTCCAATTTGAATCTGCAGAATTGCCACATCTTAAACGTCAGCTGTGTCCATACTACAGGAACTTCAGTGCTATAGTGCTGGGCAGTAAAGTAAGTTGTTTATAAACTTGGAGAGTACAGAAGTTCCCAAACACAAAACCATACTTTCCTTCACCTGTCCTGCCACAAACCAGCCTTTCTCCTGCTGCAATCACTAACATTTCTGTTGTTATTCAGCAACTTCTGTAAAAACAAAGCAGTGTGAGGAACCCCAGATTTGCTGCCCCCACCCCACATTCTGGAAAGCAGAGGAATCCCACGTTTCCAGACAGCACTGTAATACAGCAGTACTGAATGGCACACAGGCAGTATGTATTAGACAGCAAATACTATAATTAATCACAGACAGCCTGTGAACATCTTCTTTTAAAAGGTCAACAGTTTATCTTAAAAATGCCTATTTGACTTCGGAATATACGTGTGAATAGGGACTGGCAGTAATTTCCAGCTTTTCAGCAAAGCTATTGTGCTCTAAAACTGTGTGCCCTTATTTCAAAATGACATTAAAAAAAGCATATGCAAGGCTGTCCTGCTGCTGCTGCTGTTTAGAAGCTCAAGCCCTGTTAAGTGCGTGCAGTGCTCACCACTCCAGCAGTTAGCAAATGTTTTCATATTTTTAATTCACAAAAGTCTGGCCTGATACCTCAAGACTGCAGGAAGTTAAGTCACTGTTCACAGAGCATCAAAAAAAATACACTGGTCTTTCGATGATTGTACACCACCCTCCCTGCCCCCAGTTAGAAATATAAAATACTAGCTCTTCATAAAATGTTTTAACTACGGAGTGTCTTCTGCTCCTTGCCTGTGTCACTTCCAAAGTCTCATTGACTTTAAGCGAATCTCGTTCTGTACAAGCTTCTAAGTGCCTTATACACAGTGTTCCAAGAGTAGCAATGAGCCTGGTTTTTCGGGCGTTCCTCCTCACCCCTGCCCCATGTACACAAATCCATTCTGCATTTACTGAGACAACTCTGTAATTGGGCTTGTAATTATATTTGCAAAGGAACATAAAGGAAGGAACATTTAAAAAAAAATGTGTACAGCCTCAACAGCAGAACTAAGTGAATTGCTTGATACAATTTTTCTCTATATTGGAGATACAACTTGGCAAATTAAACATTTACCGCAGTTCTGTTTGGTTGCAGCAGCCATTTAGAACAGTTTATCTGTCTGTAACCGACAAGCTACGCCCATTTCTGTGTTCCCACACCTGTCTGTACCCTTCAGTCATTCATTTTGGTCTCTGTCATTTAAAGACATACCTGCAGCAATGACAGGATCCTTCATAAGCTCCCTTGTTATAGGACATAAGAGCTCATCAGGGATGGGCACAGGAGCAGACCTCGTGTTCATCCTCAGTTCATCAATTTTCTGGAGAACTTTACTGCGCAGGCCTAGAGACTCTGAAAAGTTATTTGTACATTAACTGGAGAACACAGACACGTAAGGCAAAGAGATCAGTTCTTGTGTTAATGAGCAGCTGTGTGACGAGACACGGCTCCATCTCGCCACCCCCACCCAGCTCACTGAGCTCTGCAGAGCCCTGGCCACCAGGACAGGCGGTGCAACTACAGCACATCCCTCCTGCCGGCATGCAGTGACTGCGTGGAGGAATGAAAACAACGGGACAGCCGCCCTCCTGGCAGCACACTGCACCCAGCAGGACAGCAAAACCCACCAACACTGCAGCAGGACCAGGAGACTCCATCAGGAGGTTCTGGCCCCTGTTCCTACCCTCTCTGCACTGCGTAAGTGAAGAAAAAAACATATAAAGTAGAACCATCAGTATCAGCTTACTAGCATGTATTTAATCTCCTGCCTTTGAGCCACGTCTGCACAACACACACACCAGCAGCCTCACCCAGGGGTTCTGAGACCTTGCACCCAGGCCTTACGAGTCCTTGTGACTCTTCCTGGAGCCCCAGAACCACGTTCCTGCTTCATCAGTTCAGGCCACCCTTAACTTACGTTCTCACCTTCTCTGTAAGGGGTAAGGACGAGGCACAGTTCACAAAACGGAAGCGTGCAGCACCAAGAGCAACACCACAAGCCAGCTGCAGGGGTTCTGTTCTACAGTCCGAGTTACAGTTTGATGGACTTGTTGTTAGACATGGTACAAAGGAGAGCCCTGGGAACTATCGACCAGTGTGACTGGTAAGCACATGGAACAATCCTCCTGCGAGCACTGTGTCACACACAAGTTATGTTTATTCCCACACATTGTGCAGAATCAATTTATACTTCTCATTCATTAGAAAAACCAAATACCACAGTGGTGG